TAAAACAATGTTGACACATACATAATGTTTATTTATATGTTTATTCTAAGCATTGTTTTTACATATTGTAAGAGTCATATCAGTATTTTTTGTACTTAGTAAAATAAATAATTTGAATTTACATAAATCTTTGTAAAATATTCTTTCTCTTATCACGTCCATCTTCATCAAAGTGAATATCGTCTATGAAGTCTGCATTGTTACAACTTCCATCTTGGCAATTGTTATGAACTTCTAAAGCTGGCTCAAGGTGGACTATATCTCTTTGTAAGACCATGTTATGTAATACACAACAAGATCTAATAAGTTGCAACCTTCTAGCACCTGGTCTCAATCTCAGATGGTAGAGACATCTAAATCTGCATAAATTAACAAATTAGCACTTCCATGCAAATAATTTTTCATCACATATATGTTTCATTAATACCTTTGTTTCAGAATCCTAATTGTATGTTTAACAGATACTCGGGATTTGTATGGATGTTGATTGAAGCTTCTATGGACTCTTTCTAGATGCTCATTATCTTTACAAGGAGTGATGAGCTGTTTTAGGCAAGGGTAAGCTGCATCACCAAGTAAATGTCCATCTGTAAGAGATTTTTAAATATATTTATGTGTAATAATGTATATTCTTCAAATCTTATATAAGTGGAAAATAATTACGTACTGATATCAGTCTCTGTTACTCTTTTGAACACTGAAGAATTTCTGAAAACCCTAGCATCATGCACTGAGCCTGGGTATCCACTATACATGTTAATTATACGAAGATTGTGTTTGCATACAATTTCCAGTTGCAGTGAAAAATAATCTTTTCTATTGTAATAGCTGTTGGGACTCTCCTTGGGCCTGTCAATCTTAATGTGTGTTCCATCTACACATTCAACAACATCTGGAAAATTATATTTCTGAATATAGTGTTGTTTAGTGGCCAAAGATTCTTCTTCGGTAGGCCATGTAATAAACATTGGAGCTAGACTTCCAATGAAATCTGACATGTTAGATATTATGTCAAATAAATTGCTCTTTGACAGATCAAACAAGTTGGTCACCTCCCTGTATGTTGCAACTTGATGACCAACGAACCATAGATAGCAGTACATTTTTTTTTGGGGTGATGTATGCTTGACATTTTCTAGAAATTATTTAAATGCCTTTTGTATATACATATATATATCTAAATGTGTTATAAGACTTTGATTTTTAAATTTAATAGAGATAGTACTTACCACTTTTTAAAGGTTTGCAGTAATCAGAATCAACATACCATTGAATTAGCTGATTTACAACATCTCGAGGAAGTCTTAAATGACTTGTAAATT